AGTATTTAGGAATTATCATCTCAGTGAGGCCTTCCCTGCCTACAGGCTTTTAATATGTAAGCTGTCCCCACCCCCACCCCCCAGCACTCCCCAGACCCCTCTCCCAGCTACCACTCTCTCCACAGCACCATGAGGGTATGATTCTAGACGTTCTATTTGTGTTATCTACCCCTCCTACCTCACTGGAAAATCTTTAGGGTGTATGGCCGGATCAATACCAGGTCGGCTTCTAGCAGCAAGTGACCTTGAATCTCCCCCACGCGTGCAGAGCTGACCAGAGCTGGCTGAAACAACTAGCTGCAAGTGGCCTTGAATCTCCCACACACACCTGCGGAGCTGACCAGAGCTGGCTAATGTAACCTGACAGGAGCTTTGCAAGTTTTTTTTTTCTTTCTTTTACTCACAGTCCATTTTGCTCACAGCCCGTTTTGGCTCAGTGCCCGCTTTGTTCTCGGCCCGCCACTCTGTACCCGGCACAAATACACCCGGAACCAGGAAGACAACTTACATTCCAGAAACCCGGACATACCTGAATCTCCCAATCCCTGACTACTTTACCTTACGGACTCAAGGCAGCCCAGTCACATATTCCCTGGCCATATAAGCACCACCCCTGTAGCCTGGGGCGCGACTCCCTCGGCCCGGACAGTGGGACTTCGCCCAGGGTGGGGTTTTCTCCCCAATAAAGCCTGTTTGCTCACATTCGACTGATTTGGTCTCTGGCGCCTCTCGACCACCTTACACAGGGCAGAGGGGTTTGTCGCTTTATTTGCTCCTGGGCCACCAGCACTAGAAGCGTGTCTGGCGTCCAGTAAGCAGTCACGGATAGTGCCCGCGGCCTGGAGACGGCTCGCCCCTTTTCTTGACTTAGCCTTTGCACCCATCGCCTCCTCGGGATGAGTGTGGCAGGGTGAGCCTTAGCTTCCTTCTTCCTTCACACCCCTCACCGCCACTTACCCAGCAGTCTTACTTCCGCCACAGAGTCCCGTGTCCCTGCGGTCAGGCACGTGTCTGCTGACTGAGGGGATGGGGGTCACGCCCACGCAGCAGTTCCCCTACATGAAGGCCTGGCTCCCTGTCCCTCTAAAGTTAACACCCTGGACAACCCTGCAGGGCAGCTGTACTCGGTCACCTGGCAACAGCTTTTAGTCCTGCTGCTATGACTGATACACACACTGAGGCAAACGTAGCACTACGAAACCACAGAAACCTTTATCAAGCAAAACTATCAACATGTGAGATTACTCCGGCCTCCACTTCGGTGCACACACTTCTGAAGGCGGTGTGTTTTCATCTCCCCAGCCCTTCCCCAAAGAATGCAGGGCTCTTCGGCTTACACCCCCTCACACACAGCAGCGGTGCTGGCATCCTCGGGGGACTCAAACCGTGTGCCTTTTCCAGATTCTTTGAGTCTGGGGAACCAAAAGAGGTCTGAAGGGGCACAAGCAGGCTAGGAGGGGGGATGGACTAAGGTTTCCCAGTGAAATTCTCAGAGGACAATCTTCACTGCCCTTAAGATCTGACCAACTGCGTTATCATGATGGAAAATCCCTCAGCACAGCTTTCCTGGCCCTCTTCTCGCCAGCAGTTTTCAATTTTCTTAAAGCTTCTTCTGAATAAGTCCCCATCAAGACTGCCCCTTTGAGATCCCCAAAAATAATCGTCAAAACCTCCTAAGCCAGCAGTTCTCAACCTGTGGTTCATGACCCCTTTGGGGGTCGAATGACCCTTTCACAGGGTCACCCGATTCACAGCAGTAGCAAAATTAGTTATGAAGTAGCAATGGAAATAATTTTATGCTTGGAGTGGGGGTGCCATCACAACATGAGGAACTATTAAAGGGTCTCAGCATGAGGAAGGTTGAGAACCACTGTCCTAAGCAGATGTCACACTCTGCCTTGAGTTTCACTGGCCCAGTAAATGCCCTGAGAAGCCACTGTGTGGATCAGACCTAATGTTGAAGCCACCCAAAGAAGGCTAAGACAAGAATATTACTGCGAGAATTTATCTTCAGACACATACTTAAACCTGCTTTGTTTGGAATAAACTACATGGAAGACTGGAACTCCAATAGCAATACTTTTTGACTTACCCTTAGATAGTATGTTTGTTATGGATCAGGGCCTATTTCCAAGGGCTGTTTAACATCATTTAGTCCTCTCAATGACCCTTGAGCTATTTTTGATTATTTAATAAGCATTTGTATAGCACTTACTATAGGCCTATCCTAAACGCATTGCCAGGATTAATGTAATCCTCCAGACCAACCTCTAAGCCGTGGGGGCGTGGTGGGTTCCATGCAAGATCAGGGACGGGAACTCACCGGCTGCTCTGCGGGAGAAAGACGAGGCTTTTGCCTGCCCTCAAGATTTACAGCCCCAGAGACCCAAAGGGGCAGGTCTCATTCGTCCTACACATCTCTGAGTCAGAATCGACAAGGTGGCAGTGAGCTGGGTTTGTTCTGCAGTTTACCAACCTCTGATATCTGTAGTTCTAGCCTCATTGTATAGGTTATGAAATTCAGGAGCCTAGAGTTTAAACATCATGCCCTAAGCTACACAGCTAGACAAGTCCAAGCCAAGATTTCAACTCAAGCAATTCTTTGGCTATGTCACTACTCTTTCTCTACATATTACCCTAATAGCTCTCGATCTACCCAGTACACTAGTGTGATAAAATCTAAATCCTTTTTTAAATGAAATAATCATCAAGAATTTTGAACTGGAATTCTTAGTTACAATGTGCCTAAACATTTTGATCCCCTTAAAGCCAACTTTAAAAATTAAAATCGGTTTCTTCTTACCATCCTGTGGTCTCGAATTTTAATGTTTGGAATGGCATCGAAGTCAACTGCAGTCAACAGAGAACAAACACAAATTAAAAGGTTAGAATGTTTTAAAGAATAAAGATGACTTTTAAAACCTCTTTGGTGACCAGCTCACTACTAGAAATTACTTCCTGTTCCATTATTAAATTTCGGGACATTTTTCACATATAACTTGCAACCCGACATCCATTCTAGTTGGGTAAAATTCTCCTAATCAAATTAATAAATACAGAAGCAACATCATTACGACCATAAAACTGATACCCACAGAGGAATAAAATATTTCATGATTCTTCATTAGATGGTATCTTATTTCTACAACCTGTGTAGAAAGCTATTGAGTGGATCTAAAGAGAGGGCTCCCTCACATGAAATTCTAGGGACCTCATTCCAAGGATCTGACATCAAGAACCTCAAGCCCCATTCTATGCGCTCCTGACTAATGTATTCTGTCCTTTCTACACTGCTCTTGGGAATCCATAGGCTGCCGCCACTATGCTCCTAGTATTGCCATTCTTGTTCCATTCCTTCTTATTGCTTTTGCCATCGAGTTGAATCTGACTCGTAGAGAGCCTCGACGTGCACAGACGAACCGCTCCGTGGAGTTTCAAGGTTCTGACATTTAGGAAACAGATCGCTGGGCTTGTCTTCCAAGGGCTCTGGGTGGGTTTGAACTGCCACCTTTGTGATTAGTAGCCCAGCACACTTAACCATCTGCACCACACACGAACCTGTCGCTCCTTTTTATTTATATTTTTAATCATTTTATTGGGGGCTCATACAGCTCTAACCACAATCCATACATACATCCATTGTGTCAAGCACATTTGTACATTGGTTGCCATCATCATTTTCAAAGTTTCTTTCTTCTTGAGCTCTTGGTATCAGCTCCTCATTTTTCCTCCCTCCCTCCCTCCCCACTCCTTCTAAGATAGTGTTTGTGCCTGTTTTTCGATCCTCTCTCCTGAGTAAATGCCTAAAGCACTTGTGACATGGACTGACACAAAGGCTGCCACAATGGTCGCCACCCACCCAGCAGGGACAGTGAGGATGGTGAGGGCCTGAGCCGGTTCTGTCCTGTGATTCCTCAGGTCGCTATGAGTCGGCCCCAGCTCACCAGCATGTAACAACTACAACAGTGTTTACAGAACCAGGGTTATTGAGGTGCCTGGAGAAAGTGACCTGTAAGACCATTAAAACTGTACAGAAGAGGGAGGACAGACGTTTCTGTTAGGCCAAGTCTAGAATCATTGGCTCCTGTGATGCTAGTTCATGAAATCAGAGAGTTCCTTCAGAGTCTGTAGACCACACCAGTAAACCAAGGCAAAATCACGGGGCTTGACAGTCCATTCCGACTTACAGCCAGCCTACAGGACAGAGTGGAGAACTGTCCCAGAGGGTCTCCACGCCTGGACATCTTTACAGAAGCAGACTGCCACACCTCTCTCCTACAGTGCAGCTGGCGGGGTCAAGCCGCCCACACTTGGTTAGCAGAAAAGGACTGACCACAGGGCTCCTTCTATACCAACAGAGAGTCTTACATTTTTGCAGAAATAATATTTAGAAATATTGCTGGTAGGACCATGCCCACCTATTCTCATGACAGTAGTGGTGTGCTTTTATGACCCATTTTCCATGGTCATTCTCAAAGGCCTACAGGCTGGCAGAGCTGATGAAATACTGGTTTGATGGTCACTGTTCAGCAGGCACGCTGGTGGTCTCTGAAAGAGCTAGCTCCAGGCTGCCCCACGTGCCCATCCACCCCACACAGTCATACATGCCCAGGTGGCCCAAGGTGATCTGCTTTGGCTGCACTCATCACGTGTATACTGATTTGGCCACTACCTTCTCTGACAGAGGGTAAATCCCATGAGAGCAGCCAGCTATTTCTGTCATCACCACAACCCCTGGATCCAGCTCCATGCTTGTGCGCTGAAGCACTCAGTAACAACATCCATAGCTCAGTCAGGTGCTTTGCAGATGAAACACTATCAAAACCACAGGCACAGAGTGGAGAAATACCCTGTAGGAATCTCTTTTGGTTCCTAGTTCCTGGTGCAGCTATCGCCTGGCCTGCTCACAGTATTTAATTCCCCAGGCTACAGTACAGGGCTGAGCCTCGCACACTGGTGGACACATAAACCCCGCCGGGTCCGTCCAAGCCCTCAGCAAGGCACTCCTTTCTAGGATTGTGGGCCCACCGGCCCAACTGGCATGGAGCTGCCAGTGCAGGGAGAATGCTGGGACAGGTACCAACAGAAGGGATGGGAAAAGGAAGCCAACCACAGGACAGCCGTGTCATGTTTTCAAACAAACCTAAGAAGTGAGACTCCGAGTAGTGGTTTCCTCTAGAGGCAGTGAGTGACACAGGGGAGGTTCTGAAGTACCGATAATGCTCTATTTCTTGACCAGGGTGCAAATTTACATGGGTGTCCTCTGTATACTTCAGATGTATGCACGTCATGTATTTATGTTACGCTTACTTAACAGTCTTTTTGTAAGTCAATTACAGTTAATACAAAATAAAAGACATTATCGATCTATATATCTCTATTTGATGGGTGCAGGGGTGGTTCAGTGGTCAAATTCTTGCCTTTCATGCAAGACCCTGGTTCAGCTCCAGCCAATGCAACCACGTCAAGCACAGTGGAG